GAAAAAGATTTTGTATTGATCGGTAGTACAGGTTCGTCGAATTTAATGCGATCTTAACTCCTTGGAGAATAAAATCTCGATTTATTACTGTCGATACAGACATTTGGACTTCACGATATTTCGCACGAGACACATAACGAACGACAGAAATATTATTTTCAGTTGTAGCTTAAGAACAACAAATAAATAAACAAATAAACACGAGAAACACAAAACCTAATGGGCAATTTGAGCACAATGGACCACTGTAGGTCGCGGTGCAAGGGCTGAGGAGGCCTACCCCTCATACATTCAATGGGTACCGTATTTACGCATGTATAGGCCGCACATTTTTTGCCAAAAATTCAAGAGGAAAACTGGGGTGCGGCTTATATTCGAAATCATACTTCATTTAAAAAAAATTATATTCATAATTAGTAATACAGCGTGTTCTACTCCTGAAATAATATTCCAAGAAAATTATTTTTTCTATAATTTCTGTCTGAAAATTGTGCTGCGGCCTATACATGCGTAAATACGGTAATTTTCGAACAATTACAAGCGATAGGCCTACTTTAATATTGTGATATGTGGACCCATTGCTAGGAAGCAAGTTAACAAACAGGTTTCCGTAGAGATTGATTAGTGGAAACTAACTCGTTACGGAACACATTTCCATGGATAAGAGTGATCAACAGCTATTTCCTTGGATACCGATAAGCTGTATAAGAGTACAGTCAATTATGACAGAGTTTATTTCCTTATGGAGGTGGGGTCGAATTCCTCCACCGTAGCCCTTCGAGTCCCAGGGGGGCGACAAAAAGGGTGGTCTACAATCTGAGATAGTAAAATATGGTTACGAGTCCGATGGGACTCGGACCCGAGAATGTCTGTGCTGGCTAAGGCCAGCAGCAATTGTAAAAAACAGACCTGCCCTCTCGTCAGAGAGAGGAAGCGCCCCACATCAACAAATCCGCAACTGTCTGACAGTAATAAAGAGCTGGTCAAAGCCCCAGACGGATGCTTTATTCTAAGGTAGACTGGCAGACTCACCGTCGGTCGTAACATAACTTTCACTTTGACTCGTCGAGTCAGAATGGAGCGAGTCCTAGGCAGTCATTTATTGTGAGTTATTGTAATTGATTGTGTCAATAAATCCAATCATCCAATCTAAACCCTGTTAATATTCGTCACGCAACCATAACCTCGTGACAATATTAATTGAACCGACTAACGAAAATAATCGTTCACACAAAAAACACTGGCACGAAGAGTGTTGGGGTGTCACAGAATGACAAGAAGCAGGAATTGCTTATTATCAATATCACATCCGAAAACATGAGACAAACGCGATCGCGTCTTATAGGATTCCATCCCTTCCTTTCGGCTTCATTCGTCATTCACGCTGTCTACGTTTAGAATATTTTACGTTTCTGATTTTTCTGGCCGAAGACAAGCTTTAACATATAAGTTTTTCTATAATGGAACAGTGTTTCTATAAAAGTAAGTAAAGCTATCCCTGTTAACAGGCCGTGAAGGCCCATAGGGTTGTGAGACGTTGAGGGTCCCACATTATCTAGACAATCGGCTCAAAGATGGCGGTAAGGGTGTCAGCCTGACGCGCCGGCCGCGCTTTACTCCGCAGGAAAATTATTTAATTAATTTCTGGTACTCATTTCTGTTAGAGGCTGAGTCGAACCCCAGGGTCACAGAGCGGCTGGAAGGATTAGGTCAATTGAAAAAAAAAAATTAATGACCTCATCGGAACTTGAAACTGCGACCTTCCGGCTTGTAGCAGTGCCTCAACCAACAGGAATACATTTGTGGGGGAGGGTAATTCAGGTTCGATGTCGCATTTCCTTTCTCATTTCTGTAATTACGAGAAAACAGTGATTTTTCTCATAGTCGCTGTACTTAACTAAATAAGCACTATGCCATGAAAGCGTATGAGAACCACATTTTCTTGACGTCGGCACTAGGTGAGTGTTCAACTTCACGCCCCGGTCGCTTTATCCCCGGTTCCTATCGCTTAGAATTTTGGGTGGATCCCAGAGCGGGTCTGGCCGACGTGAAGAGAAAATTCTTGATCCTACAGGGACTAGAACTCCGATCCGTCGGTCGTCCAGCCCGTAGCCTGTCGCTATACGAACTACACTATCCGGTTCCTACTTTTCTCATAACATGTGGTTGTAAAAGAAACCTTTAACCACAAAATAGGTTTTAATAATTTAATAAAAATATCAGCCCTATAAATAAAAAGATTATCATTCGGAGAAGAAAAGTCATATTGCATTTTAGGCTTACAAAAGGAATTAGCGTATATTAAAGAACGGTTTATATGTAGAGCTTAGGACGCTTATTAATTTCAGGATGTGCTTGATAATTTAAATAAGCATCCTTCATAATAAATGTAGAGCTTTAGCATCACAGACAACACTTAGCAATCTATAACTTCTAGTTGCTCGCTCTCCCATCATTACTGTATATTCCTCCAGCTTAAAATCGAAGATTAGCTAAATGTCTGTGGACGAACAAGGAACAGGACATAAAATAGAATGGACGTAAAAATGGAGACGTGATATCTGAGAACACGAAACATCCCGGAAATTTCAATCTAAGATTATGTTACTGCCTCCATAAATTCGACTCCGTACTGTCTGATAGACAGCTAGCATTTCGAATGAACCTGATGCCTCCAGGTTCCTTTGAAACGTCGATAACTATCTTCCAGAATATCTGGCGTCTCGTATAAGAACCTCAAAATCCACAACCTCTACGGTTGTCAGTTTTCGGCGTTTCGGTTCCGCATTCGATGTGAATAAGTTCTTGTACATATCATAAAAGCATATATATATATACCTGACGACACAAAAGCAAGGATACGTATACGTCCATGTTTTTCGTTTCGCGTTGTCCGGGCCAGGTAGCGACCTTGTGATGCTTCCACTCCCCATCTAAAGAGTCCTACAAAATGTCTAAAAGGTTTTAACAGTTTCGGAATTAATTCTGAAATGGAACGTGTCGTAATCTGTGAACGTTGAAGAATTATCTACTAAATTACATTTACACTTCCCGAAATTGTGTGAGATTCTCGAACGTAGAACCCAAAGATCGCGGGTCTAATATTAACCACTTGTACTTTATATGCTGAAAGTCCCGGTTCGAATATCACTCATGGGGTATTCTATCCTTACTGATTCCTTTCGTGGGTTTCCTTGGCCCCTCCAGGTGACTGCCTTTCACATCCTTCCCCGTCTAGTATTCACTCATCCTACCAGTCGACGCTATACAGTAATTAAAAGGCAAAGCTATCCCTGTAAAATGCCGTGGAGGCCCATAGGGTTGTGAGACGTCGAGCCTCACACATTTTCTAGACAATCGGCTCACAGATAGCAGTAAAGTTGTCAGCTTTACGTGCCGGCCTCCCTTTACTCCCAGGAAGATTCCTGGTACTCATTTCTGTTAGAGGCTGAGTCGACCCCAGTGCCATAGTGCGTCTGGAAGGATTAGATGAATTGAAAAAATCCACTTCATCGGGACTCGAACCCGCGACCTTCTGGCTTGTAGCATAGGGTCTCAACCAACTACATTACGGCGTGACCCTTGCTATAGTAATTATTACTCCGAAAATCAAAGCAACATGATTTACCAGAGTATACGGCGTCACATACTAGAAGACAACGATCTTCCAAAAATCTTGAGTACTCGTAGAGTATTCAGTGCGACAAATGCGAACGTGAATGTGAGTGGCAAATCAAAGAAAAGAACTGTAAGGATAAAGGAATGAACCTTCTTGGTTAACTTGCTGCGTATGAGGAGAGCGTGCAAAAATTGTTCCCAACGAAACATAAAGGATTCTACTTCGGTAACTTCACCTAACATACCTGGACCTTGAGGCGTCGTTGTGAGAGAGGGGTGCAGCGCGCGAGGGAACAGGTACATCCTTCAGTGTCATGTAGGAGAGGCAAGAGGGGGTGGTCTCGCTTGAGGAAGCCATGTGAGCAAGTCGGCGGCATATCCAAACCCTGCGGTCCACTGATTCTCGTATCACTTACGAACAGAGTTATTGATCAGTCCTCTGGGCACAGGAATGACAAGAAAATACGTCTACCTCCCTCATTACGCGCCAAATAATTTGCTGTATGCTACAAATCTGAGACATGATTGCAAACTTTCATTTTGCACACACTCTCACTCAAGTCCTTGAAGTGCAACCCCTCCCTTCCCTCTCTACACCCTCGTCACTACGTGTATATCCATCCGACTCCCTGTGTTTTCCGTCCACACTTTCTCGGCTCTCCGCGGTCCGGGGGAGAGAGTGCACCGCGGCGTGCGGTGGAGGTAGGTTGCTGTGAAGCTACGGGTTATATTGTGATGTGTTCCAACTTCAAATGTGTCGTGGCCTCCGTGATTTACTACAATTTATCTGTGATATCGTTCACGCGATTCGTTTGTCAGGTAAGCGCCAACATGGTGGTCATGTGCTAAGAAAAAAAAACGTATGATTGTGACAGCTTCTTTGTTATTCTTTTTTTTTCGGCACAGGGATTTGGAAATCCCATTTATGTCTATTGTTTACTTAAATACACTTGGTTTTTCCTCCGACTCAGCGCAAGCGTTCTTGAGAGCTCCGAAGCTTTGTCTAATCGGATTCATTAACGAAGGATCCGGGAATTATGCGTTCATTGCTGGCTGCCATATTTTTGAAGAGAAGGCGTCTTTTGTGCGAGGTAAAATTCAAGACATATCATGTGTGCTATAAGCGGGGAACAACGATAAACAAGTGTGCATTGTTGGCATGTCGACAGTGACGTATTAAATGAAAAAGAAACATATAATTAATTAGTGTCTTCGCATGGTGTGAAGTGATTCGGAATAAGACGTTGCCAAATACAGCTTCGAGTGACGTTAAGTACAAACATGGCCAGAAGTTATCTCAAGAAAGATTCAAGTTCGCAACCGCCAAAAGAAGCCAGGAGAGCGGATTATGATGTGCCATAACTTGTTCGAGTTCTGTAGCCGACCGGATTAGAGTTTCTCGACAAAACCAAATCAATTTCTCTTATTAATTCTTGGAAAATAATTTAAGACGTGTAAAATCAGATGACAAATGTGAATGATGTAGTATTTGATTAAAATATCCGATGTGACGGTGGTACAAGTGATGCATGCTTAGTATCTGTTACGCGATTTGTGTTAGAGTGTCATAGTGTTTAAAAACGCGCGCGCATGTATATTATTACTTGTATTATGTGCCCCACCCTTTGTGGTATTAATTATCGGTATCTGGACCATTCCGCAGTGCAAAATTATTTAATTCTGAACGCAATGAAGTACGACATTCATGTGTTTTGAAATCGACATATTCAAATGATTATGGTTCGAGTTTGGTATGACGCAAATTGAACATTTTCCAATCTTAATGTGTTGTCGCATCATTTGAATTGTGTTAATAAAATATCTGTTTCGATTTACGTGATTCGCAAAGAATTAATTTGCGTAGTGGCATCATGATATCATCACTACAGTTTAACACTAACAGTGTTGTTTTTCTTTATAACGTGCGTAAGAACAAGCTATGCGCTCTTCCAAATTAGCCGATGGTTACAAACTGAGATGCATTCGAATTATAAAGACTTGGAAAAATTATTTAAAGTTTCAAGCTTACGTGTTCATTCAAATTTACTTCAGTTAATGCAGTGAAGCGTTATTCTACGTGAATTGTTTTTCTTTCCCCCTTCTAACGCATGTGGCACATACAGACTTCTGTATTTTTATTTCAGGTGAGGTAACACATCATAACAAATTATGAAGCAGAAGTCTGTGGTTTGGGAAGGATAATTTATGGGGCAAAAGAAGGTAATGTTAATTCTATTATGATTCTAGTTACTTTGTATTGTATTTATTAATACAGATATCTATCGCCTTGTGGACTAGAAACGTGAAAATAATAAATAAACGTAAAAAAGTCAATATTTTCATGGGAACAGAATTTAATTAACGGCAGCTATAATTACCGGTTATGATTTAAAATTTACATAACTGCTGTCTATTTATGAATTATGAAGTTAAAGAAGTAACCCATATTTAACCAATTTTTTTATATACCTTATTATTTTCCAAATCAGTTTTTTGATTACCACAATTTGGGAAATTATTCTGTAAAAACCCAGGTACCAGTACATTATGCTTTTCTACTCACACAAGTGTAGAAATAATTTGCATGTTACAAACAGTGCAAGATAAATATATTTTTCAGTATTTTTACTGGAAATGTTAATTAAATATGAAGTGAAACACTCAGTACTTTCAGGTCTGCATCTATTACAACCACTGCAGAATTAGCATAAACATTTATAAAGTATCAGTGTTTATAATTGTCAGCAACAGAAGAACGTTATCCTAATACCGGCTTATTGAAATGTCTTTGGATATCTCTTTAAGTACTAAAACAGTATTCAGGGTATATAGAGCATGAAATGAAAATCACAACTCACAGTACATAACAGTTCATCTAAAGTAACATGTTTATTATTCCCTTACACAGTCTTCACATTGTTTCATCATCAGCTTTCCTGATTATATTTTTAAAACGTGATACCAAAGAAATTAATTGTGAATTGTGGCTTGTGAGCAAAATATTAGGAATTGCATTTAACTTGTGAATACTTCTGCTCTCTAGGAGCAACCTTCTGAACTAAAAATGGAGGGAAAATATATACTCTGTTCATTTGTGAGGCAGAGTTATTGATATAGTACTTTCTCTTAACACATAAATATGTAATATGTAATTCTAAGATGTGGACTGTCTGTATAGTTGGCATACACATCAACATGTAAATAAATAGCACAGTAACGCAAATAAATATAAATTTTAGTAAATAGATAATGCCAGAAAATTTGGTATAATATTTCAGTCAATTTTATCCACAAATTTTAAGTATGAAAGATTAACTATAGCTGATTCTACTTACGATCTCTGGTAAATGTAATTCGTATTAAACTGAGTTTAATGTTTTCATAATTAATGATTTTTGTATTGGATGCATAATTTTTCTGAACTCTCAACCTTCATAATTTTGAAACGTTTCATTAAAGAGTTTATTAAGGAACTCCAATGTGTATCCCCTTGAACACTGAGATGGGCCAAACGTGATGCGTTAAACAACAAGTGTACACTGAACTCTGGCAGAGAAATCTCATGGTAAAAGGCCATATGGAATAATTAATCAGAAAACACGTAGAATGAAATGATCGTTGCCAAATCTAAGATAGTATCTTGGCGTCTGCTTGAAGGGACTGAGGAAGACGATGAAAATCTTAGTCAAGATTGTCTGTGTCCTGGCCGATATTTGAACAAAACACGTCCAGAATAAAAATCGATTATCACTTGAGACAACTTGCCTGGTCTGTACTTATTTTATGGGAGCAATAAAAGGCATTGTTTTTAGTAAGAATACTTTTTAAGGCATCGTCAGTAAATCTATGCACCTGCGTAGCAATTGTTTCCAAAAAGTAATATATTTTGAGTAAGCTTCATAAGTAGTACTCTTCTCCAAGTATAATTAGAATGATCAAGTCAAGGAGGATGAGGTGGGCAGGTCATGTAGCACGATGGGGAAGACGAGGAATGCGTAGAGGATATTGGTGGGAAAGCCAGAAGGAAAGAGACCACAGGGAAGACCAAGGTGTAGGTGGGTGGAGAATATTAGAATGGATCTTAGAGAGATAGGATGGGATGGTATGGATTGGATAGATCTGGCTCAGGATAGGGACTGGTGGAGAGCTCTTGTGAACACGGTGATGAACCTTCGGGTTCCATAAAATGCTGGGAAATTCTTGAGTAGCTGCAGAATTGGCAGCTCCTCCAGAAGGGCTCAGCTCCAAGAGTGAGTAAGTAATATACTTTGATTAATTTCTTATATGATAAAGAAGAATTAATTTCTTAACACCCTGGACATTTCAACAAATACAGCACTCTGACTGCCACTGATGAGTAGCATGGCCGCAGTTTTTGGAGTATCGTTTTTTTTATCCAATTTTCAATTTGTTTCATGAGCAGCTAGTGATAACAAGACGAGTCTTGTTAGTTAAATGCACGCCAAGAAGATCAACTGAAGGCACAACAAAAGCAGTCTGTTGTATTAAAAGACGCTTAAATGGTTACAAGAAGAAGAAACAAAAGCTGTCACTTTCTATGAAAATAGGACAAAACGGCGAACTCAGTACAGCCATAAAGTGAGCCAAAACGTGATATATTGCTTCCTTAATTATATGTGGAAAACTGTGGCGGTCAAATATAACGCACACGAGCGCATGCGCTTATTCTTAAAATATTCAGTACTTGTCACATGGAACCATCTTGAAAATTTCCATTTCATATCTTAAGAAATGTATTTTTCCGTTTACATTTGTAATTAGTGTCTGAATCAAAAGCTAGAACTCTGGTACTAAAACATGGAGCCTGACAGCAAAATATTGTTATGAAATATGTTTTGTTGTGTTGGCATACAGATAAAGCAAGTCATAACGATTCCAATGTTTATTTGGGAGGTGTTCGGTTCGAATCTCGGCAGGGATATATTCTATTTTGACTATGGTTTTCCATGTCTCCGTCACTCCAGGAAAGTGCTGAGATATTGCATTAAATCAGGCCAGTATCACTTCTGTCTACCTCTTTACCAGTTTAATGACACTTTACCATTAACATCCTGTCATCTGATGCTGTACAGTCAGAGCTGCTGACTGCTCCATTAACTAAACTCCAAATAAGCAAAACATAGATACAATATAAGTGATTAGCATATACATTTGTTAGGTAATGTTATTTGTAGGATATGATGTCTCTATTCCATTTGATGGCCTTATAATATAATTTCTACAAACTCTGGCAATAAATAATTCTAAGTAGTAATGTCTAGGGGATTTAATTATTTAGCAAGAAACAGAAGACAATCTAGAGCTAAACTGTAATACCAGCATTGCAGACATGTGTTTCTCTATATTCATGTCAATTTCATTTTGTTCAAAATATATATTAGAATTTTGTCCTGTGACACTGTATATCATGTGAAACTGGGTACTATAATAATGAACCTAACAGAATAGTCGCCAACAACCCTCCTAATAATACAAGAGTGGAACTGAGTATTCTGAATCTCACTGTCTGTTAACTTGAGTGAAATTACATTATCCCCCACCCCTTGCAAATATGAGTTTAATTGGGATTAGGATGTACCTTTTATTCCCTCTACATTAAACAGTAAATTACTTGCTGACAAATTTGACGGTATTTGAAAACAAGAAAAGTGTATCGCGATGTGACACCCGAGAGAAATAAAAAAAAGAATACAAAAAGGAGAAAAATGGGGTAAGAAAGAAATGAAAGTAAACATTAAGAAACAAAGAAAGAGAAATAAAGAAAGAAAAGAAAGAGAAGAGGCGAGAAAGACTGAATACTCGTATGAGAAAGAAATAGGCCTAGACATATAAGAGAAAATAAACGATACTGACTGTTAATGTTCTAAGATATATACAATGTATCAGAAATGTTACAAATAAATTCTGCAGTTATGTATAAACTCTATATTGTATTTACTGATTTCTTTTATGATGGTAATTATAAGAAAAACGATAATATATGATTGGATGAGCTTCTTATAAAACCTTGTTTATATTATATTAAAGAGGACTAAAGTTCTCTGAAAACTTTTAATACATATCATCAGTTTCATTGAAATCCATCGCATACTCCTGGAAATGGGACATGCATACAGCTGGATGCACATGCACAATTTTCTCATTACTGGAGCAAAGAATGTATCAGCAAAGAGAATTTAATAACTGTTTTTTTTCTAAACACCTTTCACAACATAAATTCCTTAAAGAAAAGACACATCGACAATTGTCAGATAAGCAAAATCTAACATCCCAAGAAAGTAATTCTCTTTACCTCGTACCTCAAATGACATTCATAATTATTTATGAAAATTTTTTGTGAGGTAATCCCAAGAAAGCTTTGTACTCTATACAGAAGTAGCCATTGTAGGTATATTGTTGAAGGCAAAATAATTCTTTTAGTTTTTTCAATTGATCGATATATAGCAAACTTTATTAGCCCCATAAGAACCAATAAAACTAACTCCAAGGAGCAGAATTCTTAAGAAGCTAACTGTTGCAGAGCTAATACGAATTTCCCTTCTTTTAGTGAACCAGGTGGTTCATTATCATGTTCAGAGCACATCACTGGGTCCTATCTTAACCCAGTTGAATCCAATCCAAACTCTCTCACCCTATTTCTTTAATAATTACAGTCCACTCCTAGGCCTTCAAAAACGCCTCCTCCATGTTTTCCATCAAAAATTTTGTATCTATTTCTTATCTATCCCTCACACACTACATGCCCCACCATATTTTGTCATCCTAATGTTTGGTGAAGTGTACAGAAGGGACAAGTACAGCTCAGTCAGTAAACTGACTGAGAATGAGCTGGACGACCTGAGTTAATTTTCTGGTAGGGTAGGAATTTTCTTTTTTGAAACAACATTCAACTCCTCTCCCATAAGCATGGGCAGCTTTCTCGTCAGTAAAGCAGCCAGAGCTTGAAGCTGACCATCCACTTGCATCTAATTTTGAGTGCACTTTTACACATTCATGGCATAGTGCTTAAGTACAGAAACAACTCTACCTTCGTAAACCCTTGAAAATATGAAACAAATTTAAAAATTACATGATGCAAGGTCTGATACGCCAAAAAAGGCTTAAAGAGTAAGAGACGATGGCTCAGATGAATGATGATGTGTTTCAGGCTGGTGGGCACTAGTGTTGAGAGAGGCCATGGCGACTCCACATTACAGCTTGCGATGGAACAACCACCAGAACCATATCCTAAATGCATTTGATACCCTGTTGCAAAGCGAGACGCTGGTGGATGTGACGCTAATGTGTGAAGGGACCAGTGTGCGAGCACACAAAGTCGTCCTGTCTGCCTGCAGGTTGATGTTCTAGTATATGTCTCTTCTCCTTTAATAGAGAAGCTAATGTAAAGAGCTGATATTGGTTCTGCTCTTGGTTTGTTGTGCCATGTGGATGTGACCAGTTCTGCCAACATTTCAAAGGTACATAACGGCTTCGTCTTCAGGGCCGAACTGATCCTGAAGATGGAAGCAGCATGTACTCCCAGAATGTCACCAACACTGCCTGCATCCTCAGAGAGCAAAGACCCAAGAGAAAAATCAACATCAGTTATGAAGTACCATGTAAAAAAAAAAAAAGTAAAGTTATCCCTGTAACAGGCCGAGAAGGCCCATAGGGTTGTGAGACGTTAAGGGTCCCACATTATCTAGACAATCGGCTCAAAGATGGCGGTAAGGTTGTCAGCCTTACGCGCTGTCTGCACTTCACTCCCCAGAAAATTATTTAATTAATTCCTGGTATTCATTTCTGTTAGAGGCTGAGTAAACCCCAGGGCCTAGTGCAGCCAGAAGGATTAGGTCAATTGAAAAAAATCCAATGACCTCATCAGGACTTGAACCCGTGACCTTCCGGCTTGTAGCATAGTACCTTAACCACCATGCTACCGTGTACCCCCATAAAGTAATATGAAGATCTAAAATCAGTAGCATGCAGAGTTCTTTCATACAGGCACTCCGGCTTTAGTTGTATATGTGGTGTATGTACAACTAAAATACATGTTAGATGCCATTATATGTGATATCACAGATGGTAGCAGTCACAGGAGAGTGTACTGTCTGCAGTGGTAATTTTATTAACCAATGCCCAACAAGCATGTGCTTTTAGTGAAAGGATTTTTTCTAATCTGCTAGTATAATTCAAGTACATCTTGAATTTCAAGTAAAATCTGAGCACAGAAACACTTCAAACAGGTCTGCAGTAAACAAGTTTGTTAGCAAATTTGAAACAAGTCAGTCTGCAAACAATATGAAAATTGTTATCAGTGAGAGAAGACATAACACCAGAACATATGAACTTATAATGGGCTATAAATTTATTGGATGAAAATGGGGCAAAATTAAATGTGCTGACACCTTTTGTTTCTGACTCCACTAGTTACATATTTCTGGAAATCTGTTCAGTACTTATGGAGAGGAATATTTTGGATAGACAAATAGAAGGAGAGGCACAGTCTGCCAATTTTTTAATCATCTTATAATTTTGTAAATAAAACAAAGAACAAATCATGTAAGTTCTGTGTCTTCTAATCTTTGTATACACATTTGTATATTTAGATACAAAGTTACATTTTACCTTAATTTTTATTAAAAAACCTTGTCTCTTTTTCAGTCCTTACTTTCAGAAGATATTTTCAGAAACGCCTTGCAAGCATCCAGTTATTGTTTTGAAAGACATCAGAGTTTGGGAAGTACAAGCAATTGTGGATTTTATGTACAAAGGAGAAATTAGCGTTGTACAGGAACAAATATCATCTCTAATAAAGACTGCTGAAGCCTTACAGGTAATTTACATTCATTCTTCCCATGCTTAGCAGTGCCTGTAACTATGTATTAAGGATGTGCCACATGTGGGGGAGAAGTTGATTCAAAAATAATCCCTGAGGCAAATTTATGATACACTTGTAATTCCCTCTCACATTTTTGACATGTGCTTAGTCCTGTCCAAAAATGTAACATACCTATACTGGGTTCTGTACAGCATTTCTCTTGCAATCTGTAATATTACCACATGCTGTCCTGCCTGCTGTTGTTAGTTCTTAAGACATACAGTTCAACCCATATTTAATATTCCTTGATTTAAAGTGCTTTCTCATGTAGTCTTCAATTTCACTGATCTCAGTGTAAAATCTTACTTGACTTTAGATTCTCCTTAGTTTACTGTTTAATTCCACTGCTCCCCAAAGAAACCTTAAATGTGGGATTCACAGTCAGTGGCATATTTAGAATTCCACTTTCAAGGATGTTTTTAGAAAAAAAATTATAACAATTGTGCCTTAATATGAATGCTGGTTCTCTTGGTCACAGAAATCTTTCCTCAACAAATAATTCTCTTTATATCATCATAAGCATTTCTGCAGGTGAGTTGCAATGCATGAAGCCTCCTGCTCTAAGTGGCTTAGCAAATATATTACTTATAATTAATACTTTCTCTGTCACCATTTGACAGAATGGCTGTTATATCAAAAATCTACTGCTCTTTCTTCTGGGATTGTTTTCTTTATACACACCTATGGATAAGAAGTCATCAATCTTTACTTCTTTTTCACAATCCTTTCTTTTCGATTTACTGGGTGCCTTCCTGTACCTGGCTGAATCATCCTGTTCTGGGTGGCTGTTCCGTAGATCTTCCTTGAAACTGTAATTATAATGCCCTATTCCTCCTTTTCACATGACCAAACCATTTTCTCTTCTAGCTGTATTACCAATTTTGAATTCCAGCTACTCTAAAAATCCAATTTCTAATTCTACTCCTTCCTTTTCCCACTCTGTACTTCTCAAAAGTTTCACACACATTGCCTGCTTTTGCTTTTATTTCTCTTTGTAAAGAGCCTATGGCTTTGGTATTACATGTTAGTACTGGTTTAAAATAGACTTCACAGACTGTTGTTTTGCAATGCTTTGGTATCTCTCTGTTCCATAATATTCCTTTCATAATTTGGTAACATGTGGAAGGATTTCATATTCTTCTATTTATTTCACTGTTGGGTTTCCTTTTATATTTATTACTTACTTTACAAACAGTATTAAATTTTGGTAACTACTGTCTTTGGTTGACACAGCACATACAGCACAAAAGCCCAAGTGTAAACTCAAGCTAACACTGAAATTGTTTTGCTAATTGTACCTGTTATTCAACTAAAGTGACAAATCTAATGTACTTCATGGTTGAACTGGGTACTTTACAGATATGGGGAGCTGGGATAGTGTAGTCAGTACAGCAAAAGGCTATGGACTGGAGGACCAAAGGGTCGGAGTTCCAACTCCTTGCAGGGTCAAGAATTTTCTCTTCTCCACATTGTCCATACTGGCTCTGGGATTCACCCAACTTTCTGTCCAATGGGTACCAGGAGCTCTTCCCCTAGAAGTAAAGTGGCAAGGGCATGAAGCTGACCACTAACCTCCAACTAATGCCAAGGTCAATAAACTGTGGAACTGTACATCCACTCCCTCACATCCTTACAAGGCATAGTGCTTAATTGGTTAATTAGTTAAGCACAGGGACAATTTTACTTTTTTTACATTTGAGACATGAAACAGAAGTAGTCACTGTTATTAAAAAAATTAAGATTTTTAAACATTCTCACTGCCTGTCTGCAATAGTAAATTTTCACAATGAATCCCAGATGCACAAGATGAATAAGCCAGAAAAAATGATAGAAAATTCACTGAACTGTATGAGATTATACTGATCATGAGAGTATGCTGGCTAGATTTGTATTCAGAAAGTACCTAATTCAAATCTGAACCAAGTTACTCATTTCCTTGACTGAGATTACTCATATTTCTCGCCCTCTCCCCTCCTACAACTTAAGGCCAGTATTTTTCTTTATTTTATTCCATCACGACAATAGGAATTTCATACACACCATATGATTCTAAAATATAATATTATTAATGCCAGTATATTTACTGTGACCATTTGTTTTCAAAATTTATCCATTCACCATTTGCGATCATGTATGGTATATCATTTGATACAATATAACTTCTGGAGTTGAAACGGCATAATTAAATGCAAATGCAAAAACAGAATAGACTTATGTGCAAGACAAACAGGAAAAAGTATTCAAAATGAAGTATTTTGCAGTTTTCTCCTGTTCGTTGACATACATATGAACAGAGGCTGAACAGTTCTTGAAAATTTGGTAGGGAAAAAAGGTAAAGTTGTCCCTGTGTTTAACTAATTAAACATGAAGACATATGGGGAGTGGATGTATAAATCCACGTTTTCTTGACCTTGGCACTAGGAGGTGGGTGGTCAGCTTCATGATCCTGCAGGAAAAGAACCCCCAGGACCTACTGGATAGGAGGCTGGGTGGGCCTGAGAGCCATTCTGAATGACATGGAGAGATGAAAATTCTTGACCCTGCTGGGACCCAAACTCTGACCCCTCAGTCATCCAGCCAGCAATCAGTTGCTATAATAACTGTGCTATTCCAGCTCTTGAAAATTTGATAGCCAGACAGATATTTTGTTCTTCAGAAAAATGCGGTTAAATTATTCTAGCACCTTGCTTTGAGCGTCACTTCGGTTCACTGCAGAAGATTTTTACTTCCTGTTCACATGTTACTGTACCGCCTCTGTGGTCTAGTGGTCAGCGTTCCTGGCTACAGATCCAGAGGTCCTGGTCCAATTCCCAGCGCTACCAGATTTTTTTTCCTGAGAAGTAGTGGGTCTGGAATGGGGTCCACTTAGCCTCATGATGATAATTGAGATATTTCGAGGAAATAGAGGCTCCGGTCTAGAAAACCGAAATTAACAGCCGTGGGGATTCGTTGCGCTGACCACATGACACCGTCTATCCGCAAAAGCTGGCACTAACTTCGCCTACAAGTGGCGGTCGCTCGGTCAATATAGTTTGCTTGCGGACCAAACTCACAGAGTTTGTTTTTGTTGTTGTTCTCATGCTACTGTCCCTGAACCTTTAGATGCTTGGCATGAGATAATAATAAATAAAATAAATAAAATAAAATAAAAGATATTTATGGTTTCCCACTTATGCTAATCTTAACTTCTTTGGATGTGATTCACCATTCTCTCTGTACCAGAAGCGATTGAACAGAATTGTCCAAAATCCAAAAGCTAACTCCCTGAATGCTGAGCAGATTTGTGAGTCACTTTTTTTTTTACATTAATCACTTACTGCGATTTTTAACCCTACTTTTTTACCCTTACACATGAACTACATAGAAGAATAAAACAGAATCTTAGCCTGAGTCAGACTAGTTCCCAGCAGTTGTGCCGTAATTCCACAATTTCATGTTAACAGGTGAGAGGCCTAGCACATACTGAGCAACAAGTCCTACCAGAAAAGGAACAACAACAGCACCATCACCACCACCACCACCACAACCACCACCACCACCAGCAGCAGGAGGCTGAGTAGCAACATCAGCAACAGCTGCACTCCACATCCCAATCTGCAGCATTCTCTCCCCCACCACCATTATCAAGCCTTGAGAAAATGGGGTTGTATGGTGTTCCAACTCCCACTGCTCGCAGCTTCTCTTCATCAGATCCAACAGTGGGGCTGGGGACAGGATTGCCTGTATTGTCTCCTTTCTCACCATCCCCTGTACCAAATTATGAACCACCTCTCAAACTTCCACATCTCCCACATATGCCACCTATCTCCTTTAGTGAGAACCTGCCTCCCCCCACTGACCACCGCACCTCACCCCTGCCTCGAAGAAAACAGGTAAACTCTACATAATGTTCTCAGACTTTCTGGCTTAAGAGAAACCACCAACTTTCCATTTACTGTGAGTCTGAAATATCTGTGATGGCATGTCATCTCTGGTACGGTTATTTTGACTGCATTCTATGTCCAATTTCAGTTTAGTGACTTTTTAATGATGTAGTGATCTGCATCACTAGCTGATGATGGCTCAAACTCAGAGATATTCTAGATACAGTATACTTAATAACTGTGAAGATAACCTTTATTATCACTTCTTATGGTACCAGTAGTTATGTGTGTTTTATGTTTTTTATCTTTCATACTTCATCATAATCCTTACTGAACAAGTTGGCTGAAGCTGTAATGGTTCTGATGTTTTAGTCAAGAGATGCCTGGTTCAAATACTGAACAGGACACAGACTGTTCTCATTGAGGTTGTTTGTTGTTTTTCTGCAGTCCCTCGAAGCAAATGCCTTGAAACAGGCCAACAGCTTATTTTCAAGTCTACCAAATGTGATCATCCTCACTTATCATTCAGTGGTAAATTACTGCTAAAGTTCCTACAGCATGGTTATGTAACCCACTGATCATCCATTTTTTCCTGCCCTCTGAATCTTGATGAGTTCTGACACAGATGAGAAATGCTGCCAACCATCGAAACCTTTGGAAATCATTCAGTGCAGCACTGGTTGACAAATTCATTTTCAGTCTCTCAAAAGATGATTAATTTATAAATGTTCAACACTGTAACTGAATTATGTATTAACTTGTGAGATTTTAAGTTTTCATGGCTAAATATGAAGATTATTGTCTGCTGGGATGCAATGATGTGTAGCCTGGTAGAAGGATACCAACATTTCAAAAGAACATACCGCCATAATCAGGGAATACAAGCAGCAGGTTCCTCCAAAAGATTAGTACCTCTTTATCAGACGGTACAGTATTGCATCCCATAAGGCAGCTTCATCTGCACCACTTGATTTTAAAATCAGCGTGACTTCAGCAGCTGATATTTCTGTCCTAAGAAGACAGACTTCAATACAGCATATTATTACATGTGTCCAGGCACGACCCCGGAGACGATCAGGGGATCAGTGTGGGGCACAGGATCTCACTAAACCACCAGTGTCTCCAGTGACGGAAACAGCGGAGAATTTATCCATGAAGAAACCAGCACATCAGCAGCATCAGCAACAAAGCAACAGTAGCAGTAGTAACAACACCAGCAATAGTAATAACAATATTAGCAGCAATGGAAATATCACGCCTGCCCCGACGCTTCCTCCTGCTCCTCCAGGAACGCCCGTTACTTCACCTCACCCACTGGTACGAAAACATGTACAATTGCAGGATACAGTGGAACCTCTAGTTCATGCTCCTTAGTTGAAGGTTCTCTTTCATTTGTGTTAGTGTCAGCGATCCCAAGTGAGTAATATCAGCATTAAACCATCTCCATGTAAGATTTTCCTCAATTTAGTCTTTGGGATGTTGCATTTTACAGCTTTTTTCCTTATATTTCTGTTACAGTGGAATTACTTCATGTTGTTAATTGTGACGAAGTTTTGAGACAATTGAGCTGTTTTAATCACTGTGTGGGGAGTGATTTTGCATTGCCCAAGGAAGCATTTAGGCCTGTATCTACTCTTTCCAAATAATATGGGTGTCAAAAAGCACAAATCATACCTTCATTTAGTACAGAAGTACCAAAAGAAGTTTTTAGTAGGCTCTAGCTCACTCTAAATTAGGTAGGATTTGAGATTATCCCAGTGATAATTACGGAGAGTTCTGTCTTCTGCGATATAATGCTTTGTAGTCCTCTGAAATATAATCAACCTATCAGAAAAACATGTCACCTCCACCTTCAGAAGCAAGAATAAGCCAAGCCATATACCAGCTTTTAGGAAGCAGAACCAGAAAGTAGAACTCTTCATTCTAAATCAAATCAGTATGAAGTCACTTCAGAATGTAACAGTTCACAAGAGTGTCAGCAACTCTCTTCTTCTTGATATTATAACCACAGACAAACATAACACTACAAAGTACAACCACATGTGCAACATAACGATTCTGCATTCACACACCCAAACTCAAAGAGTGTATCAGTTAACCTGTGGACAGGCACAAATGTAGGTATGCATATACAGTTTGGTCATCTGAGAGCTTCCCAGAATCCATCTGGAAACTCACATGGAAGAGACCCACACTCACTTGAACTTTGTGTGCACAGATTAAGACTGGTAGCAGACAGCTTGTATACTTGTTAGAATCCTGTCCTAAATATCATCCCAATAAACCGCTGAACAGCCACCATGAAGTGAACTTATGCATTATGGTCTGCCCAACCATAATCCAAAGTTTCATACTGTACTTAAACTTCCAATCACATAATTTCATGTGTCAAAATACTACATGAGAGTTACATAATGGAATGAGTGTTCATGCATAATACCTGTTGGAAAGTGGACGCGTAAGAGAAGCAAGGTAAAGATTCCAGCATAGGTTTCAGGAAATTACAATTCCAAATACACAGAATACTCATACAATCATATAAGGTAAAGGTAAAAAGGTAACGCTATCCCTGTAACAGGCTGTGAAAGCCCAAATGGTTGTGAGATGTCGAGGCTCCCAAATTTTCTAGACAGTCAGCTCACAGACAGTGGTGAGGTCAGCCTTACAAGCCAGCCACCCTTTACACCCAGGAAGATTCCTGGTACTCATTTCTCTTAGAGGCTGAGTCGACCCCAGGGCCACAGTGTGGCTGGAAGAATTAGGTCAATTGAAAAATCAGGTGACCTCATCAGGATTTGAACCCACGACCTTCCAGCTTGTTTGGCCATGCCATAGCTCAAGCGGTTAGTCGCTGGCTTCCCACTGCGGTGGCCCGGGTTCGATCCCCCGGCCTACTCACGTGGGATTTGTGGTGGACAAAGTGGCGCTGGGGCAGGTTTTCTCCAAGTACTTCAGGTTCCCCTGCCAATCTTCATTCCACCAATTGCTCCACAGTCACCCTCACCTATCATCTGGGGCTGGTACAATAGGCCAGAAGTGGCCGCAGTACAAGGGACTTAGTCCCACCCCACTAACAATAAAAAAAAAATTCCAGCTTTTAGCATAGCACCTCAACCAACTATGCTCCTGCCTGCCCCCCCCCATACAATCATAAGTAAATTACAGCACTCAGGGTCAATATTGGACAAAGAAGAACTGAAACAAAATGTCACATGGAAAAAAGTAAAGCTATCCCTGTACCAGGCCATGAAGGCCCATAGGGTTGTGAGATGTTGAGGGTCCCACACTATCTAGACCATTGGCTCAAAGATGGCGGTAAGGTTGTCAGCCTTACTCACCGGCCGCGCTTTACTCCCCAGGAAAATGATTTAATTAATTCCTGGTACTCATTTCTGTTAGAGGCTGAGTAAACCCCAGGGCCTAGTGTGGCTGGAAGGACTGGGTCAACTGAAAAAAATCCAGTAGCATAATGTCAGATGGTAGCTGAAGAAAAGGAGAATGAAATCAGTACTAGGAGCTAACATCCTCTTTCAAAAACGTGTCAGATGATCTGCACAGGCAAAGCAGGATTTCAAAAATGCCAGCATGATCTTCCACAGAATTCATGAAATTTAAGCCATGTAAGACAACAGCAGTTGGCCAGCACATAATGAATAGGCTTGCTCCATTGTAGCTGTTACATCATTTCATATTTTGCAGTATCCTGCTGTGTAAATCACTGCAGATAATATTTATTGTATTCCTGTCAACACAGTGCTCTTTCATGAAGTGGACAGATACAGCGTGTTCAGGGTTGCATGTTCACATAAAACCTCGAAAATCTACGTCTTCAGCAAAATAACTATGTTAACCAACAGATGAAGAGCTAACCTATTACAGGATACAATGTATAGTACACCATGGTTTTCATATAAATTTACATTAAGTACTTCATAAAATAATTGTAACTAAAAACCAGTCCTGAAGTTGCTGAAACATGTCCTAGACAGCAACTCAACCTGCTGAAAATGGTTTTGTGTTGACAGGAATATAATAAATATTGCTTATAGCTGATTAACCCTTCCGCACCGACATCCGTGTGCTTCACCGACCCTTTAAATAATCGTATGCCACCGACATCTGTGCAGTTCACCGACCTGCGCAGTGTTAGCTTTGAAGGACGTTGCTGACAAAACGAGGAAAGATATTCCAATTTTCTTTTCAGGAGTACATAGATTAGGGTTTCATCTTTCTATTGGTATATGAGTTATTTATTTTGGACGAATTTTTAGCACGGTATTTTTATTTTGTATCGTTAGTGTAATAGTTCGTACTTTTGTCTCACTGCGCCTAGATTTCATTGAAATTTTTCAAATTCTAAGTAAGGAAAATGTATAAAACTATATATCTTTCGACTCTATGGTCTTTGCTTGTCTATATGAGTCACTCACTGAAACCCCAGACGAAGGTTTTCCTTGAATGGGTTGCTGTACAGTCTGCTGACACAATGAAGTAGTCAAACAAGAGGGTCCTTTTTTCTTGGAACCAAATGCAACCTAAGAAAATAAACTTACGAATGATACAGAAATCTATGATGTCATAACACTTTCTTCTCTCAGTCGCGCCATAACCATGGCCTCTACAAGTAGGAAAGTTTTACAGGGCGATGAACTAGAAGAGTTCCTTGCTCACGACTCGGAAGTTAGTGAGTTCGAATATTCGGATAGTAGTGAAAACAGTGATAATGAAATTGAAGATCAGGCTGTAGTTGATGCTATCCAAGATCTTAGTATTGAAGATGACGACGAAATAGTGGCGAGGGTTCCAGTGGCGGATTCAGACGAGAGTTATTTTTGGCAAAATATGGATAATTATGATGGCGTTCGCGAACGGTTTTCTGAAAATTCAGGCCCGAGAAATCAGTCTGTCAATGTGCTCGATATAGTACAGACATTTCTATTATTTTTTACTGAGGATTTTGTGAACAATATCGTTCAGGAAACAAACACTTATGCGCAACAATTTATATGTGGGAGGGTTTTTCCATTTAGATCTCCAGCTAGGCAGTGGGTACCAGTGACACTAAATGAAATGTATGTGGTCTTAGCCTTGTTCTTGCTGATGGGTATAGTCAATAAGCCAACTCTAAATTCATACTTTTCAACGAAAAGATTACTATACACTCCAGCATTTCCTGATGTAATTTCGAGAGACAGATTCCAGCTTATATGTAAATTTCTCCATTTCAATGACAATACTAAGAAAGATAATTACCTAGGACCTACAAGACTTTTCAAAATTTTTCCTGTCATTCAACATCTCAACGAAAAATTTCAGACACTCTTCTATCCTGGACAAAATATTTGTATTGATGAATCGCTTACACTATGGAAAGGGAGATTGGCATTCAAAATGTACTTGCCACTGAAAGCTTCAAAATTCGGCATAAAAACTTATGAACTCTGTGATTCCAAATCTGGGTATTTATGGTCATTTATTGTTTACACTGGCAGCGAAACCCAACTAAATTCTTCACTGATCAGAGAAAATACCAATAAAACAACATCTGTTGTTCTACATTTGGTCGAACCGCTCCTCCATAGAGGTCATACTCTATGGATGGATAATTATTACAATTCCCCCCAGTTAGCAAAATTATTAAAAAATCATGGCACTGACTGTGTTGGGACCCTTAGGTTGAACAGAAAGGGTGTCCCAACAACTGTAAAAAACACAAAGTTGAGAAAGGGCGAGATCATAGCTCAGCACGCAGGTCCTATAACTGTTCTCAAGTGGCAAGACAAAAAACCAGTTTCCGTGATCTCTACATTTCACAATGCCGACACACAGACAGATATAAAGAGAAACAAAGAAATAAAAAAACCAAAAATTATAATTGATTATAATGAAATGATGGGTGGCGTTGATTTGAAAGATCAGCTTTTACAGTACTACAACGTGGAAAGAAAAAGACTTCATAAGTGGTACATGAAACTCTTCAGACGCCTTTTGAATGCGACAGTGGTAAATGCCATGATAATTTATAACAAGAATCAGGAAAGACTGACAGACCACTTAGCATTCAGAGTAAATCTGGTAGAAGGGTTGCTGTTGAAGTTTACGGACCAGGAGCAGGCAGCACGTAGAGTACAAGGTCGACGTCATTCATCAGATAACACCATCCCCCGGCTTCGTGAAAGACATTTTATTAGTAAAATTCCCCCATCAGGAAAAAAGGCTAGACCACAAAGGCGATGTGTAGTGTGTACAAAAAACAAAAGAAGAAAAGAAACCGTGTACTGGTGCAGTGATTGTGATGTTGGGCTATGTATTGACCAGTGTTTTCAGGATTACCACACCAAACTCAACTTTTAGCAGTTCGAGTGAGTAAAAAAATATTATTTATCATAATTATATTGAAAAATATATATATAGTTTTGTTCTTCGTTTCTTTATGAATATTTCTGTGAAAATTTTATCTCAATATACCAATTTTTGCGAGAGTTACTAAATTTTTCATGGATAAGTGCATTTTTCTGTTTAATAATTAAATACCCCGTCGGTTTGGCGGTAGGAAATGATTTAAATACTATCCGTCGCGGAAGGGTTAACTGAAATGAATCTGAAGAGATTTGTTTTATTGCTATTGGGGTGGGACTAAAGTCCCTTGTACTGCGGCCACTTGTGGCCTATTGTACCAGCCCCAGATGATAGGTGAGGGTGATTGTGGAGCAATTGGTGGAATGAAGATTGGCAGGGGAAACCGAAGTACTCAGAGAAGACCTGCCCCAGTGCCACTTTGTCCACCACAAATCCCACTTGACCAGATCCGGGATCAAACCCGGCCCACCGCAGTGGGAAGCCAGCAACTAACCACTTGAGCTATGGCGCGGCCCCTAATCTGAAGAGATACTGCAATGTGTAGACTGTACTGCTACTACCCCAAATTGATGCAGGATATATCTGTCTCTATTGCTTGAGTGACTGAACGATTCCTGAGAAGCGTTCATGCAATCACAACTGTATAGTGGGAGGGCATAATTACTTATGTAACTCACCCATCAACAGATTAAATGCATGAAGTTAATATTACATTTTGTTATGGTCCTAGCTGCCTCCACCATTAAAATCAGAAAACGAAGAGTCTCAGCTGCCGGAAAATGCGCACATCGACATGCACACACCAGACAGGGACCGTGAAAGGGAGCGGGCAGAGTTCTGCAATAGTACAGAGTCTATAAGCCTGCCTCCACCACCTCCGGTAAGATTATTTCAGTGCTTGGATCACTTTTGCTGGTATTCATCTTATCCTCATATCTCACGTTGCAACTCACAGGCTTTGACTCAACAATTTGTCTGTGACACTAATAGTTCATGAAAATTGCTGTTTTCTGGGATGTCATGCTATGTAGCGTGATGGATCATTACCAATGTTTTGAACAAGCCTGCTGCCTCCATCTTCAGGACAGAAGACCTGCCTTCAAGATGGAGGAAGCAGGTTCCCTGAAATACTGTTTACAGTCTACCAGACTATATGGTGCCACATCCCAGAAGACAGTAATGTTCACAGTCAATGCTGTGAGAACTCCTAACCTCATATTCATGATTTCTGTGTAATACACTAATCTGAGGTTTCCACTGAGTACTAATCCTCATCATACAAGACTTACTGAATATAATTAAAATGAAATAATTTCTTTATACAAGTAATTAAACCATCTCTAAGAAATACAACTATATAATCAATAATATGAAGTTAATGTGTAAAATAATTAATGAAATATGAAATAAACACTGAAAGAATCTCAGTTGAGAATCACTGCAACAATGATACCACAAACAACATGTTTTCATTGTGTGTAAACCACCTGATGTCATTGCTGAAAGAATGTGATTGTCCTGTAACAATTTCCAGTAGACAGAAAAACATGAACAATGTCTGGGATATAAAGCTGTTTAGTCTGCTGAAAGTCAGCTGATGTGGTTGAGAAACATCTCAACTCCACCTGCAGGCTGAAGAGTATGCCAAGCAAGAAACAAGCTCAATTCAGGCGGCAAGCAATGCTTCTGCTTGCTTCAAGTGGGTTTCTTGCTTGGCTTACTCATAAATCCTGAAGATGTAGGTGGCATGTTCCTCCAAAACACTGGAAAATTTTCAGTGGACAGCATGGTGTATTCACAACCACTGCTGTGTGATCCTCATATTCCACATCCTACAGTCATTTTGACTAACTTTGGATCCCTGGAATGCAATGTGATGTAATGTAATGTGATGAATACAGACTATTGTTTCAACCACAAACACACTAAATCAAGGTTTTCAAATGTCAGAAATTTCTCATACTAAATGTGCGTTACTTACTAAATTAACATTTAAAAAATAGAGGAAAATTACACATTGTTTATATTTGGTTTCAGCGGTGACCAAGAGAGAATATTCACTAACAGGATTTTTCTGAATTTTATAACAATAATTTGGAATTTCACTATAGTGAACTAGTATAGTAGTATAGATACCATAGGATTGAAGGAATTCATCAACTCCACAATTGCAATTTGGGCTCTAGTAATAGGGACTCTCATAATGTTTTCATCCTCCATGTCTCTGGCATTGGGTCTCGCAGGCTTCCTCTATAGAACTTTGTCATGAACTGATTAGAAAACACTGCATCCAATACTTCCTCTACTGTTGTATATGAATTTGTTGCTGTGGAAACATGTTTTAAGAAGTGCTGTAGAACAATGGATGCATCTGGGGCACTTTTCTGGCTCCAAGTTTCTGACTTTTAGGTGTCATTTCATAATCTCAACATACAGTTCTGAAGTTGGAAGATAGGATGGACACATGTAGCAACTATGAGGTAATTCTGGCTTAAACCACTGAAGTGTGGCTAACAGTTTTACTGTTTAATCACTAGGCTTCAAAACACAAGATCACCCTACAGGAAATAATGAGACACATGTTATATTATGAGACAGAAAACTCAGAGCATACCAGTGAGCACCAGGGAATAGTCATGGAAAAACTTTGTGCACTTCTAATTAAATTACTTAATTAACGAAAAATCAAGAATTTCACATCAGTTAATGTCTCCTTTAACTTCACACAAAATTTGATTAGGTTTGTAGCAAAGCTTGTGTTCAGAAATATGAAAATATAGAGTGTCCGGATGAAAAGTATCAAAAATAAAGAATTATATCTCAGAAACTAATTGTCATACACGTATCTGGTTAATGTCATCGGAAAGGAAAACTCGGAAAGTTTTTTCTTCATGCCCGGCTTACGCACATGTGCCAGCTTGGCAAGCTCAGTATTGATGTCGACACCACAGGAGCAATTTCAATGCATGCCGTGTTTAGCAGAGTTGTGATCTCATACAGCTGTCCAGCATCAGTTTAGAACGCAGTATGGATGTCAACCTACTATACAGGAAAGCATTCGGTTCTGGGACAACAAACTAAGGGCTACAGGTATTTTGTTTCATGTAAAATCTCCTGGAAAGGCATAGACCTCTGAATAAAATGTCAGTCACATTAGAGAGGCACTCCAGCTAAGTTCATGCAAAACATTTCATGATGCTAACTTGCAGTTACATACAAATTCTACGTTCAACAGTGCATGATGTGCTACACAAAAGGCTCTACCTAAAAGTGTACAAGATTGAAATGATTCATGCACGAAAACCGAGTGACCAAGTAGCACACACAAACTTCACTGTGGACATGCTACAAAGAACTACAAAGAACTGACACATGGCCCGATTCCCTCTGCCAAGTGTGCTTCTCGGACTAGGCGACATTCCATGTCAGTGGTGTTGTAAACAGGTACAACTGCAGGATTTGGGGCTGTCAGAATCTACATGTCACATGTGAGTTGGAGAGAGGCAGCCAGAAAAGGAACGTGTGGGCTGGCTTAATGCACGACCAGTTGATTGGACCATCTTTCTTTTCGGAAAAGGCTGTGATTGGACATTCGTACTTGGACATGCTGGAGCTGTATGTGGTGCCCCAATTATGATCTCCAACTATCCTCCAACAAGATGGGGCCCCACCACATTTCTGCCACCATGTTAGGAATCACCTGGACAGAGAGATGGCTGGGAGATGGATGGGCAGAGGTGGACCAATTGCTTGGCCTCCAAGGTCGCCAGATTTAACTCCACTGAATTTTTTCTTGTGGGGCTATGTGAAGAACACTGGCTACCTTCAACACCTGAAAGCCCGCATAAGGGTTGCTATGGCTAGGGTAACACCAAACGTGCTTCAAGCAACTTGGAACAATGTCAAATATCGTCTGGATATTTGTTATGTGACCAGTTCAGCCCACACTGAAATTTATTGAAAAGTTATATACTCAGAAGAAAACTTTGACAGTTTCCCTTTGTAATGGTGTAACCCATATAATCATCCTGATATTCTGTATACTCGTATGTATTTGCTTCTTTCAAATTAGAAGATTAGTATTGAGTTACATGCGTTTGTTTGCAGGACCCAACACTTGAAAATTCTACTTTTCCACAACTCCCATCTGTATCAGCTCTTAATATGACGCCTCCTCATGGTAAGCCATATTGTCTAAGCATTAACACTGTTCATCTGTTACACAACTGGGCTGTAATTAATTATAGTTCTATGGGTTAATTGTGAAAGTATTCCACGGTTTATTTTTAGATCAAATGTTCAAATGTGCCTTAATATAATACTTTGTAAATTATCAGAGCCTGCTGACCCGATTATTATCTCAACATATGTCATCAGTACAGGATGCTCCAAAATACTGAAAAGAGTGATAGTTGGTTAGTTAGTTAGTTATTAGAGAGGGTGGGTTTCCCCATGCACTTAGACCTGTAGTGGTCCATTGTGCTTCCCTCTATGATTTCTACCAGTCTCTATATTATACCAGTATTGGTGCTTACCATCAGTCCCGCCCAGCCAGCGAGACCGGCTCTACTAGCTGAGAGGTATCTATAATGCTTCCCCCATCTACCAGAGGTATTAGTGACTGCTGTTGGGCGGGAAACGTCCATAATTTTGGCTCAGTGACCTCCTTTGGAGGTATGAGGTTCTTTTACGTGCCATAAAGCTACGACACGGGACCCACGGCTTAAATTCCCTCCCGGAGGAAAGAGTGATAGTTACATTTTGGTTATATGGTCAAGTGAAGTTTGTGTTGACAGAGAATAACTAATATGGGTTTTTGAAAGCACAAAAGTGGACAAGAACTTAGAATCACTGTCAGTACATACTGCAGTGGTGGCAACAGTCTCTTCAGATGCCTGACAGACCAGACTTGCATCATTTTGATGTACTGAAATATTCTAAATTCCATCACTTACTGGTGATGTAATATAAACACTCCTTTACTCACTGGCTTTAATCTGAACATCATATGCCTTATATGAATCTCTCCAGCTACTTCTCTGTCTGCATTAAAATCGTGTATTTGAAACCTTTTGAATTTTGACAAGTAACAAATACAATCAATTTGAAAGGATTCTGAGGATGGTGTATTCACATAGTCCAGAAATTCAGTTATTCTAAATAAACATTGTGATTATTATTTCAAGAATTTGCTTCAAAACCAAACAAACCAACGGAAGCAATAACAGTCATGATTTGCATTTGTGAGGTTCTTGGTTCGAATCTCAGCCAGAACACCACATATCCTGACTGAGTATCTTTATTGCATACATCCTGCTTTGTACCACTATGTGGTATTATTACACGGCCATCAAGACAATGATCTCAAAATAAATAAACCAGTATTACTGTATTGGGGCACACGGTAGCGTAGTTGGTTGGGGCACTATGCTACAAGCTGGAAGGTCGCAGTTTCAATTCCCAATGAGGGCACTGGATTTTTCAATTGACCTAATCCTGGTGTTGACTCAGCCTCTAACAGAAATGATTACAAGCAATCTTCATGGGGGTAAAGGGCAGCTGGAGTGTAAGGCTGACAGCCTCACCGCCATCTCTGAGCCGACTGTGTAGAAAATGTGGGAGCCCTGACATCTCACAACCCTATGGAACTCCATGGCCCATTACAGGGATAGCTTTACTTTTTACCTTAAAATATTACATATTAACATTTGTTTATTATTCTGTATTTGCTATGTTTCGATCCAGTTGGATCATCATCAGGCAGTTTTCATGATACATCTTTCTTTCGAGTATGCCCTAATATGGCTCATTATTGGATTATGTCCTAATTTGGATCCATATTGGTAATTCTTTGATATAAATTGTTAAAATTATTTTTGCATGTGGCTTGTCATATTACTGAAGTGATGCTGTAATACTAGTCTTAAGGGTTAAAATGCTAAAACACAATTATTCAAATCTCTATCAGAATGTTAAGCTGTAAATGAATTATTAATCAAATTACACTGAAATTGTCTTTTAAGTAAAGTGAATGCCTGTGGTGATTTTTCATAGACTAGGGGGTAGTTAGCCAGTCACGGTAGCCGAGCGGTCTAAGGCATGCACTGTCTTCACTTGCTCGGAAGCTGGGATCATGGGTTTGAGTCCTGCCCAGGGCATGGATGTTTAGTGTGTATGTGTGTGCGCGCGCGCATGGGTTTTGATGTGTCTGTGTGTGTGTGGGTAGAGACCTTGCGATGAGCTGATCACTCACCCAAGGAGTCCTACCGAATGTATAAGATCTAGTAAGCGTTTCATGGAGGTAGGCCAAGGCCCAAATTGGGGCTGCAATGCCAAAGGGTGGGGGGAAGGGGGGTGTTGTAGTTAGATGTTTGTATCTTGGAATCTCATAGAGTAGATAATAGTTGGGTGTTTTGTATCTTGGGCGTTGGCGTTATTTCTAGCCTGTTGCATATCTGGAAATAGATTAAAGGTGTGCTAATATAGTCCAGTTGTAATGTATAATCATATAGGTGATTACTTACATGTCATGTTGGTGATTACTCACGTGCAAGTGATGCTACGAGTTCTATATATTCTCCATATTCCATTCTGTGGTGTAATTATTCTGTAATGAGTGAGCATTTTTAGCTTTTTGTGAATGTATTGTCTCACTCTGTTAACCTTTAAAGTAAAGACTTTTAAATTGTCAAGAATCTGCTGTGGCCAGAATTTAAATGGTCCTAAGTTGTTAAAGTCGCAGACTTTAAGAAAAAACTACATATTCTCCGTTCTGTGCAACATAGAAATGTGAACTAAAAACAACTTGAAAGACAATAAAATTTTCTTCATATACACTAAAGAGCAATTTTTACAAATGAAAATATACTGTGATTATTTTGTCATGAAATGCAAAATATCATCTTTATTATATATACTGTGAAATTCCAAAGGACTTACCACATTTTTTCTCAAAACTTCAGACATGTTGTTTTTGTAAAAAATAATCACACTATATACAATAGTCCTTTGTTCAGACTGTACATGGGTATGAACTGCGTCACTTTACAGTCTATGATAACTCCATTCAGTGCTCACACTCTGATGCCCGTGCGCAACTGGTCAAAGCAGTCCTTGACACACAGTCCAACATCACACTTTTTACAATAGAAGAGCGTGCTCCTGGTTTCTTATTTAGCAAACACACACAACAACGTCTTTGTTTCTCTTTGGATGGCCAGTGTTGCGAATGTTTCACCTCTAGTCCCCAGTCACCTCTGGTCCTCCCCCAAGAAATGCCACTGACTGTGATATTTGCCTCATGCGACTGTATAGTCAAATCTCGCACTAGGATTTCGCAGAATTTTTCCACTACATGACTTGTGCAATAAATAGACATTAAGAACAGTCATGTCTAGAAGGTGGAAAAACGATTTCTTTGACGATTTCCATGTCCTCCAAGAAATTACATAACTATTTACCATCATGTCAGATTTAACCTCAAAGCCCACATGTGCAGTGTTGTCTTCAGTGGCTTTATACCTCTACCAAGACACAAAATAAAAATGTTTTATATGTAAATAATTGACAGCCCTACACTGACTTTCTGATTGATAATTCGTTACTGAAAACAAATCCTTGAAAACGACCCACTTCCTTGCAAGCTCAAGTAGCACTAATCTGCATGCATAGATGCTTCTCAGTTATCAAAACAAAGCTGTGCTCTATTTGCCTGACCAGTCATAAGCGGTCATATCTAAACTTAAATAATATCAAAACCAGTACCCTGACAAATAATTTCGTTGTTCTGAGCTAACAAATGAACCACTGATTTGACCTTGCGTGGATTTGTTGTGATTACAACAGGAAGATCAAACTGCCAGCATTTCCAAAGAGTGCAGGTGTACTGCTGCACTTCAATAGATAAATCTAACATTCAGCCATGGCGAGTGTTACTTGCCATTAGATATATCTTACATTCATACATTAAGGGTAATTGCTCCAAATTTGGTTTCTTACATATTTTGGTGCACGTGTTGCATATGTTGCATCGTGTGTGTAGATCTCATTTCTTCATTTTACTTAGAAAATAATTTCAGTGTAACTTAATTGTTAATTAATTAACAGTTTAACATTTTGATAGAGATATGAAGGACAGTATTTAACATTTTAAACCTTAAGACTAATATTACAACATCAAATTAGTAACACAAAGAGATGCACACACAAACATTTTTAACAATATTTATATCAGTACAATTACCATTATGGATCCATATTAGAACATAATCCAAAAATGACTGATGTATCACAAAAACTGCCTGATGATGATCCAGCTGTATCAAAACATGTAGCAAATACAGAATAATAAACAAATGTTAATACAGTAGCAGTGGTTTATTTATTTGGAGATTGTTGTGTTGACAGCTATGTAATAACACTACATCCTGACTGAGGATTTCTGTCTTTCCTCAGTCCCTCCAGGCAAATACTAGGACAGTATCTTAAACTTAGGCCACAGTCACTTCCACGTCTTTTCCAAGTCACTGTTCACTGTTATCCAATGATCTCATGTTACGTAACTGAGTTACTGACGTTGTCATTAAGTAAACTACAAAGAAATATATTTACTCCAAGAAAACGGGTAACAGAAGAGCTAACATTCCTTTATTTCTGTTTCAGTTTTCTCATTGGATGCTCAGCTTGGTTTCTTTCCTGGCATGGAGAGCTGTCGGAACCCGCTACTGAATGACATTTCAGAGCCAAGAAATGAAAACCACCACATAATAGGAAAACGTAAAAGTAAGAATAAACTCATAGTTAGGGTTCCTTTGGAACCCTTTTAGTTGCTTTAGTGGAATCCTATTAATGAACGCCATGCATCTGTCTGTCCAACTTAGTTCCATTTCAGTTGCACTCTTTGATATTGCCATATTTTATGCATGTTTGACTGCTAATAACAGGATTTGGATTGAATGAGTTGATCACTTTTTTACAATCACTTGTAATCACAGTAGATTACAGTAACTCACAATACAACTAGAGGCGAACCCTTCTTCCTATACTTCTGAGAACTGGTTCCATTCTCGTTCTCCATCTCTCTCTCTCTGATTTGATTCTCTTCTGTACTACTTATATAGCCACGAGGCAGATCAATAGAAAACACATTAGTTGTGGGCTTATTTACCAAGTCATTCCTTAGCAATATGTCTGCATGTCATATCACTCACTCACTCACTCACTCACTCACTCACTCACGGATCTGAGTCCTTTTTGAGAAGCTGTTCATTATGCAGCCACTAAAGAATTTCCAGCATTTTATGGGACTAGAAGGTTCATTACAATGTTCACAAGAACCCTCCACTGGTCCCTATCCTGAGTCAGATCAATCCAATCCACACCATCCTATTCTATCTCTCTATAAGATCCATTTTAATATTGTCCACCCACCTATGTCTTGGTCTTCCTAGAGATCTCTTTCCTTCCGGCTGTCCCACCAATATCCTATATGCATTCTTCTTCTCCCCAATTCATGCTACATGCCATGCCCATCTCATCCTCCTCGACTTGATCATTCTAATTATACTTGGAGAAGAGTACAAGTTAGGAAGCTCCTCATTATGTAGTTTTCTCGAACCTCCTGTCATTTCATCTCTCTTCAGTCCAGATATTCTCAACACCCAGTTCACAAACACCCTCAGACTATATTTGTCTCTTAATATCATAGTCTTAAGTTTCACACCCATACAGAACCACAGGCAAAATTGTAGTTTTGTGTATTCTAATTTATGTTTTTTGACAGCAGATGAGAAGACAAAAGCTTCTGGACTGAATGGTGGAGAGTTCAATCTCAATATAATTTCATCCTGAATCAGGTTTTGATTTGTTATAGTCATTCCCAAATATCTGAACTGTGCCACATTTTTAAAACATCTGTTACGTATATTTTCATCATTTTACCCTGCATTCTGGTGATGAGACAGCAACATATACTTAGTTTTCTCTGTGTTTACTTCAAGACAAACCTCCTTATTAGTGTCAATTAAGGTTTGTGTGTTTTTCTTTATGGTATCTATATTATCACCCAGTAGATTCACGTCATCAGCATAGACCAGCAGCTGATGTGTCCCATTTAATTTTAGTCCCACCTGGTTTACCTGGACCTTCCTAATGGCATATTCTAAAGCAAAGCTGAAATGCAGTGGTGATAAGGCATCTCCTCATTTTAGACCATTCTGGATGGGAAAATTATCAGACAAATGTTTACCTATACAGACTTTACTGCATGTCTCAATATCTTCTACACTATTTGCCCAGCTTCTGAGGTTCAACAGCATAACTACCTCAAATTTTTTGTTGTGGTTTTCCTCAGACTCTCAAGTAGAACTCCAGGATAGTACCTCAGGCCACAACCACTCCCAAATGCTTTCCAGTTCATCAGTCTTCCTACCATCTGACAGTGTATAATCTAGAGACTGACCCACAAAGAAAAAGTACATCAGCTAATGAGATTTTCCTTGGGTCAAGAAAATTATGCAAACCTCCTTCCCCATAAAAGCATAAAAATCCAGATATTATGAAATTTCAGCAGTTGTGAGCAAGCAAAATTTATATAGCAACAAGCCGCATCAATTCAGAGACAAAATCCAATGTTTCAAAGGCCTTCTCTGTCTTTATGACCAGAGAATGCTGACAGCATGTTGCACGAGAAAATTTTACCATCTGTAGTCTTTGTGTGAGGGCTATGTGGGAAGTAACCTTTGTTTAATTTAGGCAACTGATGTAGGAGCGGGGGAGAACTCAAGCGTGCAAAGTAGCATCAATTGACTCACTACCTTATAAACCATCATATAACTGGTACATCTATTGTTTGATCTGTTGTCTCTACAGAGTGTGATGATATGTTCTGGACTGATAATCCAACCAGATGCGAAATTCGAGCTGTTATACACTTTCTTCACATGGACATCCATTGTGAATTATGCGTGGTTTACAGTCAAAATATATTGCGTGAGGGAACTGTAAGGCAATGGTGTAGAATGTTCAAAGATGGGCAAACAAAGGTGTCAGTGAAGAGCAAAGTGTTCAGCCATCTGTCATGAGTCATGATCTTGTTCATTAACAGAGTGCTGCCAAAAGTATATGTGTAAACATGACATTCCATAATTTCAGATCTTTCATGTGAATTTCCACAAATTTCACATTTCCTATGAGATTACTATAGGCTGGGCTGTCACAAATTTCATGCAAGTTGGGTTCTGAAAATGCTCACAGAGGCATACAAAATCCGGAGAATTCCTTTGGCTTTGACTTTTTTAAACCAGTACCACAAAGATGTTGATGAATCATATGATATAAGTAACAGGTGATGAAACCTGTTTTCTTGTGTGTGAATGTTGAAACAGACTGCCTGTGGCCTAGTGGTCAGAATTTCTGCCTACAGATCCATAGGTCCAGGGTTCGATTCCTGGCGCTACCAGATTTTCTGAGAAGTAGTGGGTCTGGAATGGGGTCCACTCAGCCTCATGAGGATAATTGAGGAGCTATTTCAAGTAAATAGTGGCTCCAGTCTAGAGAATCAAGATTAATGGCCATGGGGATCCACTGCGCTGACCACGTGACACACTCTATCCGCAAAAGTTGGCACTAACGTTGCCAACAAGCAGCGGTCGTTCAGCCAGTATAGTTCGCTCACGGACTACAGGCCACGGAGTTTGTTGATTTTTTTGTTTGAATATTGAAGCCAAAGCAGTGGATGCACATACATTCACAAGACAAGCTTAAACGGTTTTAACAAAATTCTGCTAGAAAATTGATGGCAACTGTTTTCTGGGACAGGTTGACAGGCTGATAGTGGAAATCATGCAACAAGAGACCAGAATAGTGTCACAAGTGTATTGTGAAACACTAAAAATCTGCATAGCGCCATTGAGAACTAAAGGCATGAAATGCTGACTGTCAGTGTAGTGCTCCTCCAAGATAGTAAGTGTCTGCACACAGCTGCTCAATCTCAAGCACTGCCAGAGCATTTAAACTTGGAGTTGTTTGACCACTCTCCTTCCAGCCCTGATCTCACTCCAAGCAACTACCACCGTCTTACCTATCTAATGAACTGGTTGTGATCACAGCACTTTAACAATAATGAGAATTTGATGGAAGGTGTCAAAACATGGCTGAGTTCACACATGAAAGACTTCTTTGACACAGGCATACAAAAATTTATTCTCCAATACAAGTGCCTCAATTCCAGCAGCGATTACATGGAGAAGTAGCATTAGTATATACATATTTTTTTCTCATTACTTGTTTTGTTATCTCACGGGAGGTTACTTTCCAAATAGCCCTCATAAAATCTTCAAATCTTGTAAAATAATTATAACAGCAGATATTTCATTATGGTCTCGAATCTTGTTTAGATCCATTGGTTTTAAAACAGATTTTTTTTAATTCACTCAGTGGGGGGTGGAGTTCAACTGGGTCCACTCGGCACAGCAGCCACTGATTGGCCTATTGTAGCCTGCCCTGGGTGATTATGATGGAGACTTTGGTGGAATGAAGATTAGCAGGGGAAACCGAAGTACTCGGAGATAACCTGCCCCAGTGTCACTTTGTGCACCACAAATCCCACTTGACCAGACCCAGGATCGAACCCGGGCCGCCACGGTGGGAAGCCAGTGACTAACCGCTTGAGCTATGTTGCGGCCTAAAACAGAATTTATTTTATATGGCCCATATTTGGCAATGTAAGTGAAATTTTTTGAAATTTTCATATGAACTATATTATGGTATACTTAGAACATGTCATTAATGCTTCAGTCAAGCACCACTGAGACATTTCAAAACCTGTATTTGTCAAAATATCATTGTGAAAACTAAGTGAAGATTTTTAATTTTTTTGAAGAAAGCAGTCTTCTGGGATATGGTGCCATATAGATACTGTGTTAACCGACGTTTCGGAGGAACGTATTGCCTCCATCTTCAGGGTAGAAGAAAAAAGAAGATCTGCAGGTGAAGAACCAGTGTGAGCAAGTACTATAGACTCATTTGGAGAAAACCCAGCTGTATAAGAGAAGGATGAGAAGGGGGAGGGGGTACATGGGAAATTAGAGGAGAGGTGGGGGGAAGGGTCTGGTTGAGGTGGGCCAAAATGTAGCAGGCCAAAGCAGGTGTACTGTATTTTGGGGGGGGGGGTGAGGCAAGGTAATTGGAGGGCATTCACCCTTAACCTTCAGGGTTGCCCTCAAATTTCCTTCCCCCCATACAATATTATATACCTGCTCTGGCCTGCTACCTGCTGGTCCACCTCCCCAGACCCTTCCCCTCTCCTCTCTACTGATTTCCCATGTAGCCCCTCACCCTTCTCTTCCTGCTCTTATACAGCTGGGTTTTCTCAAAATGAGTCTATAGTACTTGCTCACACTGGTTCTTCGCCTGCAGATCTTCTTTTTTCTTCTACCCTGAAGATGGAGGCGATACATTCCTCCAAAACGTCGGTTAACACAATACCTACATGGCGCCATATCCCAGAAGACCGCTTTCTTCATAGTTACCATTGTGGAAGTTCTTTTGTTTTGAATATGAAAATACTGTTAACAGTTTTTCATGACCCAGAAGCAAAGGAACTCTTCCAGTTTCATATGGCAAGTGAAACTGAGCACAATCAGATCTGAACTACAACAAAACAACTAATCACTCTTTTGACAGGCGAAAATTCATTCTCTTTTCCCTTATTAGTTTTGGTTCTCTCTCGTACATTATAGTATGGCATGTTCTAGGGAATAAATACTAATAAAGACGAAAAAAAAGATTTCAGTGTATGGGCCATTCAGTATTTTATTTAGATGCTGTGTCTGAAGCGTCAGCCTTGCTCACAGGGAAGATGGCTGTGGTTTCAGTGGGTCGACCAAAGGGGCAGCACAGTGCCCCACGAGGAGGTCCACCACGGTCATGGACCAATGCTGAGCTAACACAGGCACTGCAGCATGTGTGGAACAAAAAGATGACAACTTCGCAGGCATCTCGGATATTTGGCATTCCATACAATAGTTTACTTATGTATGTGCGTGGCAAATATGGCAAGTCGCTCAAGTTGGAGCAACTGAAGAAAGACTGTCTTGGAGGCCCTGGGGATCCCCTTGAGCTGCTGGGACTGGGGCCCATGGGTCCAGTGCCAGGGAACAACAACAATAACAACAATGCCAGCAGCAAGTCTGGTGCAGGAGATGAACTGTTGGGTCCACCAGGCTCAGAACATGACTTGGTCTCTGTGGGTCCTGGTGGCTTCAACCCTTACTTGCCTGCCAATTACTATCCTGACTTCGGTGCCTCTTTCCCAGTCCCTGTGAACATGATCCACCTGCTACCCCAGTCTGAAAAGAACCGTGAGCTGTTCCCACCCCCTATGCCCCTCCCACTTGATGTGTCTACTGCTGGCAAAGACGACAGTAATGGAGGACGAAAATCACATGAGAACAATGGTTCCATGGAGGAGGAGCATGATGCAGTGCAAACACAACAGCAACCGCCCAAAGAGGACACCACTTCACAGCAACTTCTTGAACAGAATGGGCAGAACTAGCAGATGTTAAAATTAATAGAACTATCCAGCAGGACAAGATTTAAAAAATCGCAAATCAGAGCCCTTATTGTTTAGTGAACTATGGTATTGTTGTTTGCCAGAGTATCGACCATTTTGTGTTAGAGAGGTCGTCTATTGAAGCTTGTAAGAAATAGTAAATTTTATATGGAAACCTACAATATAGATTACATTTTATACAGTAATATATATTAATTTTATACATAATACAGTGAGTATTTACCTCAGAATTTTTCTATCTAGTACTTACAAATTTTTGTAATGGTTTACTTTATCAGCAGGTTGTTACAAATGCAGAATGGAATGTTAAGATCATCTCAATTACAGTGACAAAATGGAGGTCCTCTGGGAACTACAACATTGTGCTTTCTTACACAAGATCTAAATGAAATTGTTTGTGATTGTCAGAGTATGGGTGCTGGTAGAACAAGAGTAAAGTTAAATTTTATGGGGGAAATTCCCCGCGCATAAGAGTTGTGATGTAGCTGAGACAAATTCGTTGTGGGCCACTGAGAGGTCTTTTGTTGATATTATTGCATCGTGCTTCCTGGGTTCACAACCAGACTCAGATACTCATGCCTGTCCACAACACCATTGTAGTATCCACATTATTGTTTCTCATACATGGTTGATCATTGTTTACTTTACAAGACTGACTTCAAATGCCAATGTCCCACATATTTATATTTACTTATGATTAATACATGCTAATTAAGTTAACTTCTTAACCAACACCAACAGTTCCTGCAGAGATTTATACCAAATAATGAATAATTTTAAGTTTGAAGATAAATAATAAAAAATTAATTTTTATAGACAACCGAGTATTATATCCACAATTCACACATGAGATGATAGAAAATACATCCTTTTATATTCATTCTTTCAAACTGATTTTGAAACATAGTTTGTTACATTAAGTTTGAAGGCACATGATGACAAATGTGTGCCAAATGTGATTTTTTTAGAACAAATCACGGATGAAAGGGAACCAGTGTAAAGATTAGCAAGGTATGGTTCACTGTAACAATTGACCGTAGTTGTGATAGGAACACGTGAAACAAAAGAAGAATGTGCATTGTATCCTAATGTTAAGTGTAAATGTTGCTGGTTGTTATCCAAAAAAGAGAGCATGTTTAAATGTCAAAATGTACCATGCAATCATTACTTCTTATCATGCAAGCATTTGCAAAGCCATGTGAAAAGTATGTAGTAGTGGCAGATTTCCAGGGCCCCAGATGTTTCAATTTGCACTGTGCAACTTGCCTGAAGGATAACGAATTTCTGACAGGTTAGTTATGTTGCAATTTGATGCATTTAAGTCTTACATGGATCTAAAATTTGGAGTGATCATTTTGTTTTGATAGTGGGCAACATTTGTGAGAATGTATTCACACCCCCACTGATGCAAATCTCTAGGAATTCTAGTGTGTAGAACAACACATGTATAAAACTACATGCACATAAGAACACCCACATTATTTGAGTACCTTGTCTGATAATGTATATTTGTTTTTGATGTCCCATGTTGCAAAATTAAGTGACAAAATTGTTGTAGTGCATAGTGCTAGGATTTGTTTTCTGTCGCAAGACAAAACTATATACCCACTGTTACTGATCGTTCTAGACATTGCTTTCTAGTGGCTGCCTCTAATTTACTGATTAGTTCATAAACACTTCTTGAAAATCTGTATGAAAGTGTTTTAAACATAAAAATGTTATTAAGAAATTCTAATATTGAAAAAGTGGACATAACAATGACACTGCTTACATCCTGTAGCAAACTACAATTCTTGATATCTTCAATTTTATCAAAAATTTGGGGAACTGACAAACACGTACACGTGCACACACACACAGAGGCAGATATTGGGTTTGGACACATTAAGGAAAGTGTTCTGCAACTCAAGTAAGCAAACTCCTACTTTAAAAATTACACCACTATTCTGATTCAGTAATAGATAGGAACTAAATAATGTCGTATTGTAATTAATATTTATGTTTTTGTGGACATATAAGCAAATGTATACTTTATGTTGAAAATGCTATACTTGCTTATGTAACAGTTGTGATCTTATTTAGCTTTGTCCATCAGGCATTACAGTGACTGGGCTATGAGGCAGATGACCTGAGAATCACAAATAAATTTCCAGTCAGGCAGATTTTCTTCTCACTACAACATTCACACTGGCTCTCCCATAAAATGGGTACTGGAATTCTTTCCCTATGGGTAAAGTGTCCAGGGTGTGAAGGTGACCAGTCATTTGCATCAAGTGCCAAAGATAAGAATATGTGCAGCCATTCCTCCACTCCCCCATGTCTTCAAGGCATGGTGCTTAATTAAGCATAGCAATAATTTTACATTTGCCTTAAACATGTTGATGTCATTGTGTGTTCTTTTTCTTAGTGGGGTGAGACTGAGTCCACTAGGTACTGCAGCCACTACTGGCCTATTGCACCAGCTCCACATGATAGCTGATGGTGATTGTGGAGCAATTGGTGGAATGGAGAGTGGCAGGGGAAACCAAAGTACTCGGAGAAAACCTGCCTCAATGCCACTTTTTCCACCACAAATCCCACATGACCTGACCTAGGCTTGAACCCGGGCCACTGTGGTGGGAAGCCAACAATTAACCAACTGAGCTATGTCACAGCCTATGTCATTGTGTATGTTACAAACTACCTGCACTCTCTATACCAGTGTCTCAATGTTACTACACAGGATATAAAGGATATAATCTCAGCATAAGATGGAGGCAAGAGGTTCCTCCAGAAACAATGCTAGTGATGTATTAGTTTACGCTGCATTACATCCCAGAAGATGGTAATAATAAGAATATATTAAAATTATGCTATGCAGAGAACTGTAAGTAGCATCAGAAGTCCTCGAAGAAAATGATACAGCAAATGAAAACGTATTTTCTCATCATGTGTAAATTATTTTAAGTTCTGTACCAGTACAAGACGTATGTGGGAGTTAAAGGGACTAAAATTAATGCTGCCAGTGTTCTTAATTAAGCACTGAAACATCAAAACATGGAGAGTGGAGGTGGAGTTCCATACATTTGTAACCTTGGCACTGGTTATGAAAGATATTTTGAAATGACAACCCCACACTTGCTCTCAAGTTGAAGGCAAAACCCAAATCTCAAAATGTGCGAACTGTTCTGCTTTCCCATGTTGTGGTATCACATCATTGCTTTAGATTGTGTTCTTCTGAGTTATGTCACAATGTAGTCTTGTAGGAGGATTCCAGTATTTCAAAGGAACATGCTGCTTCCGTCTTCAGGGGTTGTAGAATTGGGACAAGAATGTGTCACTGAGACTGGGACAGAGTAAGCAAATGGAGTCCAACCTGAGCCAGTGGCAATAGTAGGAAGTGATAGCAGGTCACAGGTGTGAAAACATGTGGATGTCCAAAAAAGGGATGTTCTTTCTCAAAATCCCATTTCCCTTCCATGACACAAAATATAGCATGTCCACTGAAAAAGACTATTTTCCTACAAACTGCTGCCACTGACAAAAACTAGGCCTAATTTTCTTACCCCTTCCTGGGGTTCCACTGATCCTACTTTCCTTTTAACTTACCTATATAATCATGCAAATTCCTCACCCAACATGCTTCAACCCTGAAGATGGAAACAGCGTGTTCCTAAAAATTGTTTACATGCTACAAGCCAGAAGGTTGCGGGTTCAAGTCCTGATTAGGTCATTGAATTTCTTTCAGTTGACCTAATCCTTCCAGCCGCACTAGGCCCTGGGGTTTACTTAGCCTCTAACAGAAATGAGTACCAGGAATAAATTAAATAATTTTCCTGCAGAGTAAAGCGTGGCCAGCGCATAAGGCTGACAACCTTACCACCATCTATGAGCCGATTGTCTAGATAATGTGGGACCCTCAACGTCTCACAACCCTATGGGCCTTCACGGCTTAGTACAGGGATACCTTTACTTTTTTACTACCTACAAGGTTACACAGGGTTACAGCCTATGAGTGCACCATCTGAAGCAAATATTAAACACATCTCATAATACAAGCAAGTACAGAATTTTAAACATGAGGTATGATTCGCAAGGCTCAGAATCATGCAGATCAGGTTTTCTATAGTGACCTATTTCCTGACAGAATCCCATTTTTTCCAGTATTGAAACCTAGGGATATAATTTATAAAACGCACGCTATTATGTTATCCTTAAACAATTTGTTTATTATACGCATCAACCTGTTTCCAAAGATGTGAAAAATAACTACATGAGCGCTGCCATGATTTGCACCAGAGATCTTAGCCATTTGCACTGTGAAGTTCTGTATAACATTACTCCTTTCATGTGATAGATTTGTACAATGATGGACTAGATTCATGTAACACCAGTGTCCATAAAGACTGATTGCCATTGAGTTAGGTGCAAAAGTAACTTCTCAAGTTATTCACAGGTATATGCATGCAGGTACTAATGGAGTGATATATTGACAACTTAGTGTGCTTCTATGTAAATGGAATTTAAGTTTGTTGATATAAGACATTCATTAGGACTGTGAAGGAATAGTGTATGAAAAATGGGTACAATGCTTAATAGTTTAACATAAATCTGTCCTGGAAAGTTCAGGGTCGAGTATTTAAACAATAATTAATAACAATATAATTCAGGACAATGATGCTCGTATTTTCGTACCATAAAGAAGTTTTTGTCTTCTGTTAGGCCACTTGTAAATACATAATCTAGATCTTTTACAAAAACAGGTGAAAGAAGTGCTGTACAAATCGTTGTACCGTAGTTGATTATGTGTTTCTGTTACACTTAATTTGATTGTTATTTTCTTTGGCTAAAATTAGGGTTGGTGATGATGTTTGATGTATAAAATGTGTTAACAAAGAATAGGTACGTGATCAAATTAGGTGTTACAAAAAATAAAAAAGAAACAAAAATGTGTACTGTGAATCACACCCAACTAGAACTGTAATGACTTTTTGGAAAAGCGGTTATCACTATGTTTGCACCAACTCTCTCCATACATCCTCATAATGTGTTATTTTCTGAACATGTACTGATGAATTGAAAGAGAATTTTATTGCCTGTGTTCTGTGTAGAATGATATGCCAGATCCTCATGTAATATTGATGCCTTTATTTCATTACCCTTTCCAGTCTGATAATATGCAACAAGTATACATATTTTTTTTAAGGAAATATTTTAAATAATATGTCAACAGATAGCTTAAAACACTTTCTGTCAGCGTAACAGAACAACACAGAGCACATACTTAAAGCGATACTTTCTTGTGCCCTTTTGAATAGATCCCCCCTACCCCCAATACAAAGAGCTACATAGATATTTTCGTTGATTCCTCTACTTCTCTTCCATAATAATTGCAGGGTAAAGTTCCACATTCAGGGACAGCTTTTCGTACACTCTTGTTATTTCATGCAACACACCGTGTACATATGTACTTAAGTGTGTGCACCCATGACACATCAATAGTTGACTAGGAGAGATCTATTTAACCAGATTTCAGGCTTCCAGTAAAAGGGCATGCAAATTAGATACAGTAATTAATATTATATATTGATGTGTGTGTGTGTGTGAGACTGAATGATCTTTTGTTAAATTAATTTACATTCCATTATAATTCAGTATTATCCAGAAGTTTGGTTGCATTTTCTGCATGTAATACAATAATGCAGATCTGTTTAATATATTCTATGGTGACACTGTTAGAATGATCAGTATTAATTTATCTGTTTCCTGCATTAACAGTGCAGAGAGACAAGTTCTGTTTGTAATTATATGCAGATGTACTACGAAGAGTCAAATGTGTGTTTGTGCCCAAGTGTGTATGGACATGAATGTCAGTGTGCATAAATTCATTAGATAGCAGCCCACTCAGGTTTCAAACAATAATCTTTTTTACTTAAAAATCTGCTTTGGTGGCTGTTATCATCATTCTCAGTTCCTTTGTTATTTTAATTTCTCACAACATGACAAAGCAGTGATGGACAGGAGTTAAAAGGTTGTGCATGATAGATTATAATGTTAATATTATTATGTAATTTAAAAGGATATGAACAAGATACTCTAATTATGGTTATTTTTAATTGAGCGTTTTGGTTTTGATCCTATGGCATCATTTAAAAACAGCAATTTTGTCAAGTTCCTTTTAATTCTAAGTGATAATTTGTCAAGTGTAATTTTGTTTGTATAAAATTTGTTGGAAACATAGCCTGTTTCTTATCTGTACATTTGAAAAGAGGGATACTTAGTCATATTCTTTGGTGGATGGTATAAGCTGTAGGTACCAGAGTAGGGTTCATTATGTTCTTATTTAACAGTATTGGAGAGAGGCACTCCCATAAGTTTTCTGTCACATATGTTTCACGTGACATCACAACCCCATGTACACCATCCTATACATCGCTTTGATTGGTTGTGACAATTATTATTATATAATTATTTTATTATCTTGTGTAAAAATAGTGTAGTATTTAATTATAAATTGAAATTTTGTTTGCTGTTGGGTTTTGAAGTACTCTCTTTGATTTGCAAGGCACAGTTTCATAAAGTTTATAGATTTAATTTTCACAGTGCCACCTGTGTTGTTTTGCAGGTTCTTCAATATGCTGTTCATCTCCACATTACAACTTGTTTAATTTGTTATGTATATTTTTATAGAAGTTTAATATTGTAACAGTATTATGATAATTAGCCAGCCTTGAATTTCTCTCAACAATCCCCATGGCTGTCGGAATCAGGGTATTTGTTCCCCAGACCATAACCCAATGCCCTTTCCTGAAAATACCCCAGAAACTGTATGAGATGACCACCCCATGGTCTAGCCAGCCATATGTAATATGTAAACAACCAAAACAGCATTTCACAGAAGTATTATATAGTGAGTATATGTTGGAGCGTTGCCATCTCTCTGTATCATCTGTTTAGAAGAGAATTTTCAAACTCAGATTTTGTGCTCACTGCTTTCCCATCTTCTACTAATTCAGATAATTTGAGTTTAATGCAGTACTGATTATTCCATTGTCTTCTGGGGTGTGTACATATTTTTAACCAAGATATAATGGCTCATTCTTTAAGCATGGTCCTTGCAAACTACAGAATTTCCTGAAAATGTTCTGCCAACTGAAGGACTGCTGGCAAGCAGAACGTATTTTAAACATGAGAATTCACTTCTATGCAGTATGTACAGTCAGATGATTTAGATAAGAGTACAGCTCAGCTTGTCAGGACTGACAGCACACAATAATGTTATTATGTCAGTATTAGCTGAGGTCAGCGCTGTGATTACGGACATATTCAATGCTTTGCTTTCCAAGCTCATTACACTGCTTAAGAGCTGAAGTTCCTTTGGTTGTGATTTGCCTTGAGTCCTCTTCATCTTCCTTATTTTGTATTTCTTGATCCATATTTATGTAGCTTGCTTTGTATACTTTGCACTCTTTAA